GAATGAATACATAAGCAAAGAAAATTGATATATTCTTGACTGGCTTTGCTTCTATAATAAATAATTTACCGTCATATAATTATGCCGCATCTCAGACTATACTATTTATCCCCCTTACCAGCTATTTGGATTATCTCAGTATTTCTTAATGTGGGAAGCATAGGTGTTCGGCGCGTTTATTGGGCCATACCCCCCGGCCAATCCCCGCCTCAACCCACTCTAACAACCCTCCTACCTCTCAAAACCATGTAAACTGCAGTATTTTTTATTTTAAACATGTGTTAATATTTGGTTTATGATTTTAATTCAATTACCTTCATCTCCCACAAAAAATGAAAAAAAAACGATATGTATATATTTAGTAAAGGTATGCAACTCGCCGCTCATTTTTCAGCACTCATCTTAATATGAACTCCATGTTCACCAATTTTCAATATCTTGGTACTGCCGTTTGGTCGGGTAATTTTGACAAAAACCCAGCGGTCAGGTCTCTGTCGAGTTACACTTGCGGTAACTTCCAGATTATATATTTTTTAAAACTTGAAATGATTGTAATGACAGCTTAAATTCCTTTAAGAGTAATCAATTCCCTACCATTTGGTACCAAGAAAATTGGTGAAAAAATGTTGGAATTATGGAATTCATATCAAGATGAGTGCTGAAAAATGAGCGGCGTTGCATACCTTTACTAAATATATATATATATATATATATATATATAATATATATATATATTATATATATATATATATATTATATGTTATTTTGGTTGTGGAGCGATATATGTGGATATATCACCTGTCAAGAATTTATATCACCCAAGCCGTTAGGCGAGGGTGATATTTTATCTGGTAAGTAATATATCCACATATATCACTCCAATACCAAAATAACAATTTTATTACCCTTCCCCTGCCGAGTTTAGACGAGTTTAAAATAAATCATTGCTACTTCAAATAAAACGTCGAAATAAGATTCCCTTGAGGGTACTCCTTCACCACAACATGACGTCACATAAATACATGACGTATTTTCTTTCGAACCTAACGAATGTTAACAAGAGAAAGGAGTAGCCTGTTGAACGCACTTTTTGGAATTTATATCAAGCTTTCACAAGGTCATATTTGTTTTCAATACTGATGATAATATGTATCATTACTCTATTTTGGTAAATATTTATCATTTGACTGTTAAAAATTGCGTGTAAATCGGAATTAACATCGCGTAAAATCAAACCGTACGCGCATCGCCACAGCGCTTCTTGTAAACAACGTGGTTGACCCAACGGGAAAATTTAGTGTGTAGATTACCCGTCTGGCTCGGTAATATCAATTTCTTTCGGATGATCAATATCCATTCAAAAAGGCGGAAAAATCTGGAAGGGTAATAAATAAATATATATCATTTTTTTCATTTTTTGTGGGAGATGAAGGTAATTGAATTAAAAGCATAAACCAAATATTAAAACATGTTTAAAATGAAAAATACTGCAGTTTACATGGTTTTGAGAGGTAGGAGGGTTGTAGAGTGGGTGAGGGGGGAGTTGGCCCGGGGATAGTGACCAATCAACGCGCCGGACACCTGTTGTGGGAAGTTGAACCTGTCCATTACATTGAAAATGTATCATATAAATGAGATATATGCATGAATAAATTGATGTGTATGTAATATGGCTCGGCAAACCAGACCATTCATGATTCAAACTAAAGATGCCATTACAAATTCTGGCGCATGCAATATCATATTAACTTTAAACAATGTCTGGAAATTTAAACATTGACTTGTATAGGAAAGCCATTGTTAAATAGTGAGATAATTCAATCATAAATAGAAGATAATGCGAAAACAAATTATATATATGAAGAAGAAACTGTTTTACAAACAGATGTTTAAACAATGAACTTTATTTTGCTCCTTAAACAACAAACTCTGATAATTGTATGCCAATGGGCTTGTTTATTTAAGCTGTGATATTATTTAGGTCAATTTCGTATATAGATGTATTGCTTTAATTGTTAGTCATCTTGGTAACAAACAAACGTTTGGACACACACTTCTAGAGCATAAAGTATCAAATTGATTTATACAAATATTAAAGAAGTGACCATTTAAACAATTTAGGAGATCTTTCTTTTTGCTAAACACATGTACATGTATATAAATGAGTTTGCATTCTGTACATATAGTTACATTATTTATAACATTTAATTTCTTTAGTTAATCCATGGGATTTAATTAAAGTTAAGCGAGTTTTTATTACACGGGAGTTCCAGAAGGACATAAAATGTTGTTTTTGTTTTTTCAAGAAATACCGATTAAACATACATTGTGATTTTGGATGTATTTTTATCGTATCACTTTTTACAATAAATCTTCTTTCAATTAGCGATATGTTATATATTTTAGGATGTATTTCGGTGGAAAGCATTTTCAATTACGAGCAACATCCCTCTGTTGAAATAAACGGGGATCCCGGACATTGCTTTCCGGGATGTGGTGATCACACTGTAGTTGGCGTAACAAAAACAAAGGTATACTTTGATATAATCAATGTTACTGTCAAACAATATCATATGTCTATAAATGTATATATGTATATTTTATAACTTAAGTATCTATACTTTTGCATGGTTGTGGAAGCATATGGTAAAATAGGTTTTTCTAAGGTGTGTCAGAGTGAATACAGTGCAACAATAGTTACCTTGTATCATAGTTTGGGGACTGTATCAGAGTTAAATCGTATACATAATACATGCACAGTGCCTTAATAAGAATGCAGGTATTAGTTACTCACACTCCAGAACATGCCCATTGATTGGCTCATGTTTGCTGTTGATTACTTTTTGTGACGGCAAAAAAAAAGGGAAAGGGAAAGCGACAGAAATATTATATTCAGTTGCTCGTTCATTGGTTACTTTTTTCTGGGGTTTCATATTGTGACAACAAGGGAACGTGTTTTTATTTTTGACTATGATACAAAAAAGAAATAACATTAAAACACTCGGCAATCTGATTAATACTCTAGGGCTATGTCCCCTCGTATTCGTGTTTCGATGATCTTTTTATTACATGTAGAACGTTGAAGACTCAGTTTGATTGAGTCTGTTCATGGCAGTAAATGAAAAGTTCAGCATCCCTCATGCACATTGACAGACAATAGGTAAAGAAGCATTCCAAACTTAAAACTAAAATAGCTGGAATAATGATTTATTATTTATTTAACAGAAATAAAATACATTTAGGCGAAGTACGAATGACCTTTAAAATAGGAAAAGATGATTCCTTAAAGAATGCCCCAAACGCCAAAATTGAAAATGTTGCAGGCTTGGTTTGATTGTGCCTGTTCACGGACGATACTGAAAGTACATGATACCGTTCACGCCCTTAGCGTGCTATTACGTGAAGATCGGTTTATGGTCCCAAAGTAAAGTGATATGTGCTTTTAACGAGTAAACAATTGAATTGTAATTGTTTAAACCTCAAATACACTTACGTCCATTAACTTTTTAAAGAATGGAAAAGGTTGTATATAAAATACATGTAGTGTTCATATTTTAGTGCGCTTGTTAATTAAATGAAAATGTTAAATAAATTAGAAATCTCTTGATACATTTTTATTTTAAATCTTGTTTTAGAATAAATTTGAACGCAGTTATTTAATTGGAACAAAGTTATACTGTATAACCATATCATATCAAAGATAAGATCTATTCTGTAGTAAATGAACAGTTTTTTTTAAATATATACAATTTTGTAGCATCTAGTTGCTTTACAAAAGGAAAATCTCGGAAAAGACATTAGTATGTATAAAGTACGTACATGTATATCTTTTACAATAGATATTTTACATACAATGTATACGGTTTTTATTCATCTATAAACTGACAATTAAAGTTGTGCTTAAATTCTGACTTATACCAGTCACATCCTTACAATGACTTTGTATTTCAGTGTTACTGCCTGGGTTAAGACATAATGCTAACAAATCATACTCAGACCGGATGTACTCACGAATGTAATCACCCTGTTGTTTCGTGTGGTTATGATAGTACGGTTATAAATTATGCTTTCCTATCAATTTACAAAATGAACCCAAGGGGTAAGTTCCTTCGATATATCAAGAGTATTACAAATATTTTTCTATGTCACCGAGATGTATCATAGTAATGTTTAGAAATATAATTTACAGATTAGTATGGTCCAGTTAAGCTGAATCATTTTAAAGCTTTACATTCCACAATATTTGGTGGTTAACAGGTCGTCTTTGGTCGCAATATAAGAATTCTTCTATATTTGTACTTGTTTATTTCGCATATTTACATTCAACTACGAAATTAAGTTAATATTCGACATGACTTTATAAAGTACGTTTACGTTGAAAGTCATTGACAAGAAATAATCATTTTATTATTATTTCAAAAAGAAATGATAATTTTCTCAATCTTTCTAATTACACAGTATGCGGATGAGTTATTAGTCACGTTTGTTTGTTTTTGTTTGTTTCGATTGGGTTATAAGTCACACCTACACAGTATGAGTCATATGGCAACATTCCGGCTTTTCTGGTGCAGGAAAAAATCTCAGGTGCCTTTCTGTGCATTATTTCAGCCACGAACGGGCATGAACGGGCAACTGAGTAGAACCACCGACGTTCCGTACGCTAGCTGAATATATTAGTCACGTGCCCAAGCTTCTCTTGATTATATAACTGCTAATCTATGACTCCACACAATGACAGTAACATACGATGAGACACTTAGAAATTAATATTACGATGGAATATTGGTTTATTTCAGTGACAGCTAGTGCAATAATATATGCACAAAATGAGAGACGTAACTGTCTCGCGTTGAATACTGTCAGCCCAAAAACATTTTATTGGCAGGAATGTACCTTTTCCTTAGTACCAATGTGTGCAAATGTTAAGTATATATTTAATCATTATATCTAATAATCATTGTTTTTTATTTCTTACATACTAATTGTTGTGCTAATACTACAAGTTTGCTGCTGTTTTCACTGTTATAACGAGACGTTCATTTAATTTATTAACGAAGCAACGCCCTGAAAGACGGTGACAGGTAGCCCTAACATTAATTTATATATTGCCGGTGTTATGGCCAAGTAGCTGGTCAAATATGCCGACGAATTTTCGGCGGTGTCTTGCAAACACTTAATTAATATTTGAAATTCCTGGTGTTTTAAAATTACATATACCGGTACATTTACGTATTTTGTTTATGTACAGCAGATATAGACATAGAATTGGTATTGATCAAGCGGCGGACTTTGCAAATTCACTATGGTAACAGTCATAGGCGATTTTAAATGGTTTTCTTTACCTTTGAAATGTGAACAAACCGCCGATGTTGCAAACGCATATGATAAAATTTTGCCATGTTATACAAACACGCATATATAGGCGGGAAAGTTAATAATGTTGACGTAATATTTACCTTTACAACTTCGAATGAACGAAAGCATAAAGTCTTGACTTGTCCAGATTGCGTTTAAACAGGAATAAAAGGCACATATTGTTTCAAAACACAAGAAATTTTAAATACACAAATGTATTTGACTAAGAAATTTACAGTTGAGCGGGTTTGCGGTTAGAAAATAAAAAAATTAACAGTGTTAACAAAATTCCAGATTTGTCATAATAAAAACAACAGTAGTTTAGTAGAGTTTTAGGTACAATTTCTTAAAACTTCTAAACAAGCGTGCTTGGAATAAATTATTGTAACCGTGAAAACCTAAATCGCTTCTGTTAATTCGCTCGGTTCTTAATAAAACTCGCTCTGTAGAGATTAACAGAAAACAGAAAAGGTATTTGTCTTTATCTGTTTACTTTTGTGTCTCATAAATTATTATTTTTTTGGTGTTGCGAGCTACCTAGATGGATGGATAGATGTATGGATGTGAGACTACTTTATCCGAAATAAAACTTAACAAGAGAGCTCAACAGGAAATACATTTTCTTTTGTAGTTTTTTAGCAAATTATAAAACATGAGTAAATTGATTATTGACTCTATTTTTTTATATTATTATTCGTAAAGTTGAATGTTTAAGTGTACACTACTTGCTGCAAAAATCGTAAAGTACTTTTAATGTTGACATTGCATTCAATTTTAGTCGTTAATATTAGTATTTCATATTTATATTTTGTTTTCGAAAATTGAATTGAATACTTATTCGCTAAATGTACTTACAAATATCTCTTCTTTTTCATTTCTTAAATAGGAACTCGCGTCCAAGCTTTATCCCGAGAACATGCAAGTCAACAATACTTTACATGGATTGGTGCAGCAAATGTTTGTTTTGCAAATCGAATGTTTCAAACTGATTATTCAAATGCAAAGGATGTACATGAACACCGAAGATCTCAACTGTGGACTGGAATGTTTAAAACAAAAATAGTTTACAAATACAATTCAAACATTCCTGGTAATAAAACTAATTTATTTCAACTTTGATAAAAATCTTTTTTTCTAAAATAATACTCAATAGAAAAAAACTACAATAACGTAAAATAACGTTTAGTTTCATACATTTTTCTATGAACAAAATTTTATGAAAGAGGGGAAACAAAACACACAATTTAATACATTGTCTGTTATTAAAGTTTATTTTTTATAAATTAGTTTTATACCCAGTCAGCAATTGTTAACAACAATAATGGTGAAATGAACAAACTATATTTGTTCGCACTTGCAAGTTGCAAACTTATTACTTATATTTCTGTTATTTATTTGTTGAATATACTTTGATGAAATTACTGCACTAATCACGTTTCAGCTGAACGACGTCAGGATCGAAAATTTTACGGTTACTTAACTAGAAATTTTGAAGACAGAATGAAAATGCAATTTACAGAAACAAATTCCAACCAAAGAAGACTCTGCGATGACGGTACAATTTAAACTTAACGTATCTAATTCAAGTGTAAATAATTATTTAAATTATAAATAATACGTCACTTAATTATGTTTTTCTTCTGCTGTTTTGAGTAAACAGTGCTCGTTGTAAGCTTGTGATTTCCAGTTTTACATCGCTCGTGTGGGCCTCCATCGTCATCTACATGTGATTTCCATTTGTTAGTCCCGTGTGTGGGCGGGGTCCGTCGTCAATTGTGTTTGCCATTTGTGCTAGAATCCAATATAGATTATATATTTGGATAAAAATTGACTGCATCATTTTTATTATAAACACAAGAACTTAATAATAGACATTTGCGGCTTATAATGAGGAACGGGGATTGAGGATCGAGGACAAGTTATATAAAGGGATAATCTCAAAATAATCCAACATTTTATAATAAACACGGTTTCCAAGTAACGGATAACACCAGCATTGTCAACGATAATTTGTGTTTGTATTGCGTGATATTGTCTTTGTCCTGAATAATATTATTCCTTTGGCTCTACTTTAGGTGAGATGTCCCATCAATAGCCCTGACCGCCATATGTACTCGCATTTGTTTAATAAGTACATCGTTTCAAATAAAAACATGGAATTAATGCCCGGATCCTGTCTTTCACTGACGATACACTTATACCCTTTCCAATTAAGTTTTGAACGATAGTGTTCAGTGCCTTTTGGGATGTTTTATTTAAAGAATTATGTATGTGTTTCGGGTGTCTCTTAACGTAACTCAAAGAACTTGTATCTATGTGTACATTTGAAATACATTTCTGCCACTTCAGTGAGAATATAAGCAAGCAAAATCCTACCGAAATAAATGAACCAGATATGATTAAAAAGCTGGTTAAGCTACATAACCGAATTCTTAATATATTTTGACATCGTGTAAAAATAGCTTTCAAACCCTGGGTAAAAATGCAATAAAATTCATCATTGTCTCTTTTACTGACGCATAATGCTGATGTATTTTTAATATTCCATATAATTTATATCCTCCATAAGGCTTTTAGTAGACAGTCTTATTCGACTGAAGAAGGTTATTAGTTCAAGCCACGTGATACAAAATACATGAAAATGGTACTGACAGCTCCAAGCTTGGCGCTCAGCATTAAAATAGTAGTTAATAATGTTTATTATAGCATAAAATCGGCTATTTTTCCCTCTTTTGCCCATGTTAACGGGACCAAAACCATGTGTTAACATAGTCACGCGCTCTTGTTATAGCCCGGTTTCACCTTTGCGCAATACATACAGGGCCCAGTAAACAAACAAACAAAAAATGACGATTTGGACTGTTTGCCAAAGAGTCATGCGCTCTTGTTATGTTGAAATTTATTGATTCGAGGGCCTCAGTCGCATATTCAAGTAACTATGCCGGAAAAACGGCGTAAAAACATCGGTGCTAATCTTGGTTGTTGCCCTTTCTAAGAAACGGACAGTTGTCAATGTAAACAAATACAGTAGAATCTACCTGTCATTCAGTTTAACACTCCGGTTAACTTACAAAACTAGATAACACAAAATTAATATGAGAAAATGTTTTTTATTTATGTTAATGTTGATAAATGCTCTTTATATTTCTTTGAGAGAATAATGCTTAGTGCCTGATTTTTTTATAAACTTGTTTGCTTGAAAAAAAAACAGATTCTGATGTCACTGATCCTTTTTCTACCGTCAATCTGAAATCATTCTAAGAATTTCTAAGGGTCATGTTTTGTCTTGGGTAGAGGGTAGAGTAATGGAACGTTTTTTTTTTCTTGAGATAATAAATCTCCAAAGGCCAAGCTTTGTTAAATCACAGGCAATCGGTGCGTGGCTAGGATAGTATACATGTACATGACCACGCCCACTTATTTTTTTATAAATATTTTTTTTTCTTATTAATAAAATATTTTTTTATTCAAAATGTTTTTAAAATATCTTATTTTCAATAAATCAACAAAGAAAATTTGTTTTTAAAAAAATTCATCCATATATACTATTAATATAGTAAAGGTAGAAAGGTTCGCCAGCGGACCTACCACCAGGCCTTATGTTACCTCCCAGATCTTTGTTAATTGTCAACCAATTTTCACCAAATAAAGTGCAATCTACGCAGAAATGATTTCTCTTTCGAAAAATGTACAATATTAGAACAGTTGGTACGACAAAAGATGGAATTTTAAAGCAAAAATGCACTTTTTGTCTAGGTCGGCCATCGCTTGACCGAGCCGAAAGTAGACGATTTTGAACATAAATCGATCTTTTTCTTAATAACAAACTAATGTCAGTGCATGCAAACAGTTGAAATAGAAAAGGCAGCTATAATACTATCGCTTACCGGTCCAAAGTTAATCCAAAACGTCTGTAGGTACGCACTTTCGGTAGTTATTTGCACTAACTTTTTAAATTCCCTGACATTACATGTATACAAATGCTGACCCGGATGTACCTGATGCGTACCGCTTTTCGCATAATAAAAATTGAGCGAAGCTGGGTACCAGCGGGAACCGAGCATGCGTACCTTGAATATCCGGATCAGAATTTGTATACATGTACAATGTCGGGAAATTTAAAAAGTTAGTGCAAATAACTACTGAAAGTGCGTACCTGCAGACGTTTTGGATTTACTTTGGACCGGTAAGCGATAGTATTATAGCTGCCTTTTCTATTTCAACTGTTTGCATGCACTGACATTAGTTTGTTATTAAGAAAAAGATCGATTTATGTTCAAAATCGTCTACTTTCGGCTCGGTCAAGCGATGGCCGACCTAGACAAAAAGTGCATTTTTGCTTTAAAATTCCATCTTTTGTCGTACCAACTGTTCTAATATTGTACATTTTTCGAAAGAGAAATCATTTCTGCGTAGATTGCACTTTATTTGGTGAAAATTGGTTGACAATTAACAAAGATCTGGGAGGTAACATAAGGCCTGGTGGTAGGTCCGCTGGCGAACCTTTCTACCTTTACTATATTAATAGTATATATGGATGAATTTTTTTAAAAACAAATTTTCTTTGTTGATTTATTGAAAATAAGATATTTTAAAAACATTTTGAATAAAAAAATATTTTATTAATAAGAAAAAAAAAATTATGAAAAAATAAGTGGGCGTGGTCATGTACATGTATACTATCCTAGCCACGCACCGATTGCCTGTGTGTTAAATCAATTAAAACTTTCGTTCGGTTCCGAGAATTTTCCAAGTTGTTGGCCCCGGAAAAATGAAACGCATACGTAAAACATAGAATTGGATAAATACCGTCCAAGCACTAGAATTTAATGTAATTGTGTTTTGTATAAACTATACATCACGAATCTGTTTGAAAATTTTATGCTATAATAGCGTCAACGCACGTTTTTCCGTGTTATAAAGTCTGCAGAGTCCCTCGGAACTGTTAGAGCCCTCGCCCTACCGGGCTCGGGCACCAACCGTTCCTCGGGACTCTGCAGACGTTATAACACGGAAAAACGTGCGTTAACCCTATAATATATCGAAGGCTAGAAAACAGCTCACTTCTGTTTCATGTGGGTATTTAGTTCGTGCACTGTTTAGAGAACCTGTTCAGGTCTTACAATAGACAGACTATCAGTGTAATTATGACTGAAAAGTGTTGAAATATCTGAAAAAAGGTGATCCCTCGGAAGCATTAAAACAGCAAAAGAAATCATGAAAATGCAGACTCGGTTTGATTGGGTTGTACATGATGGATAATAAAAAGTGCAACAACCCTCACGCCCCCCCCCAGCACCGGCTTAAGCGGAACTGAACTCTCAACACTTAAAAGTGCCTGACTCAATTATCCTAAAGGACCAGAAAAATATAGCAACACTATATAGATATCGCGTTAAACTCTAATTCAGTAACTCACTCCATTTCAAATTCACTTTTAAATATATTTAAATTATTGCTTGCGCTTTAGGCCGTACAACGTTTTGAAAGACGTCTTTTGAGAAGAACGCGACACTTTGCGAACTTTCGAGTAGCGTCTTGAAAATTGGCATGCAAAAAACTGACCATATTTCAGATAAGGTTCCGTTGATTTTATTTCAATAGTTTCAGCCAATTTTTGTACACATGGCGTCAAAGTTGACCATCAAAGCCCGTTTTTGAACATGACGTCGTTGCGTATCCTTGGCAACTGTTACTGGTATTTCAACGGCATTGGCGGACAAAATATCTTAAATCCTACAGCATTCGATGAAAATTATTTTTTCCTTTAAGCAGATATAAAATTTATTGTTTTACGCCGAAAATTGTTTGAGTAATGGAAAAAAAATTGTCAATTTTGTGTAAAATTTGACGTTAAGTTTAGCCGCAATTTTCGGCTTTAAAGCGGCTTATCAAAAAATTCCTGAAATAAATTTTTTGATTTTTTTCTTTAAACATCCTTTAAAATGTATACTTAGTCAAAAT